ACTTGATTACCAGCGATCGCCTCACTCTTGGGCTTGGTCACAATTCAGTCAAAACTAGAATCATTATTCTAGGTCTTGTATGTATATGAGTAACTCAGCCTGCCTGGCATTTTGCAGAGTACAAGAAAAGAGATCCCAATCCTCAGTAGTTTGCAACTTAAAACCTTCCCCCAAGAAACTCTCAAGTTAAAATCTGAGACAAGGAAAGAAAAACATTGGAGAGAAAAAGGAGCTGAGGTGATATATGTAATTTTCTTTTCAAAAGTATGTGCTTAGGCTGAGTTACAGGAGGACAGGAGGATATGGAAATATGTTCCCACTCAGGTATGAGGACCATTCCTGCCAAATCAGGTTTTCTATTGCATTGTTGAAGATACCTGTTCTTCTGTAGTAATGAAATATAGTTACTTGAGCTCCCAAATAAAATGGAGTCCCAGAGCTATTCTTAAAAATGATTTGCTTCCTGAAATGTGATCACTTTGATGCCAATAACCACAAAAAAAGAGTGCAAATGCTTTGGAATGGAATATTGTTTCCTACACTGACTTAAAGAGGTTTACTGAAATGCAGATGTGAAATATTATCAAATTCAACTGCACTAGTAAACCATAGCTTGTAGCTTAATATGTTATTTGAGCCCAGTCAAATATCACTTGTTTTAGAAAATGTTGCTTAAAACTGGCTTACTATGTGATATAAACCTAACAAATGTGGCTTATTCCAACCAAGTTAAAAACAAACTATATATATGTATACTTGAAAAAAGAAAATAAAAAGTAGAGGGAAGCAGCTGACAGCTGGACTTATCTAAATCTTGAGGTATAATGGGATGGAAAGTAAGATGTCTACTCCTTGTTTTTATAAGTGTGTTCCATATAACTGGTAGCTATGTAAAAATGAAATAATTTGACTGTTACAGTCAGTATGTTTATTGGGTTTTGTATATGGGGTTTTACTTCCAGGGTCACCATGAGTTGGGCAGCCCTATACATTTTGTTACTAAATAAATGATCAATAAAAGTTGAAATTTCTAATACTTTTTCATTAAAAAGAATTAGACATGACAAATTCACCTCCCATCACTCTAGGACAGGGGTAGGGAAACTTGGCCCTTTTATTACTTGTGGATTTCAACTCCCAGAATTCCTGAGTGAGCCATAAAAGGTTCCCCATCCCTGGCCTTTAACTTGAATGGGACTGTTTAATATACAAATGTAGTCCTACATTTGTATATTAAACAGTCCCATTCAAGTCAAAAATTGATTTCCCCCACAACTGAAAAACCAGTAGGCCAGGGATGGGGAACCTTTTATGGCTCACTCAGGAATTCTGGGAGTTGAAGTCCATAAGTGATAAAAGAGCCAAGTTTCCCTACCCCTGCTCTAGGAAATAGGAACCCATAATGGTACTGTGGCAATAGCACATTATTTCTTTTGATAGATGAGAACAGCTGAGTGAAGATGGAGGGTATATTCCAAGCAGAAATTACAGTAACCTTAAAAATTGTTTGACATAATAGCCACATTGGGTTCAACAATTACAAGAAATAAAAGCTAGCTTGAAGGCAGCAGTATAAAGATTCTACCAGGGTAGAAACTACGGACATCCATATGGTAGATGAATTGATTTTTTTTTTAAACTGAATTTTTTTTTCTCCTTCAGAATTCCACAGGGATTAGAAAAAAGATCTAAAATAGGATCTTTCTTTTTCAAATAAAACATCATATACACCAATGCAGCACTATGCGTACCACCACTGGCAGTGCTTAGAATTGCCCTAGGTACGATGCCATTCTCTCCTCCAAATCTGTGCTCAGGGGAGAGAAGAGAGCAAAGAAAAAGCAAACAATCTCCAAACCAAGAATTCTGAAGCAGTAGAATTCAGGAGGAACCCAAATGGCACTTCCCAATATACTTGCAGGAAAAGACCCTTGTTATTGACAGGCGTCCATCGACTGAGGTTATGAAAGACAAGACAGCAACAATATCGGAGCTCTCTTTTTTTACGTGTGTCACACTTTTTGATGCTCCCCCTTTTCTTAGCTGATACTAGAAAGAGGTTAGGGATTGGGAATGGCTGGTGATCAGAGAAAGAGAAGTGGTGCCATCTATGAGACGTTGTCCACAGTTGGGTAGCTATCCTATTTGGATTGTATGGAGATTATCATTAGACTGAGATACAGTTCTTTGCAATATGCAACTCCGTTGTAAACAGATCTTTGATTCTCTTTTAAATGAGAGGCCTGTTGGTGAAATAGAATCATAAACCTTTCCCTATGGATTAATCTCACATCTTTCTTAGTGATGAAGTCATTTATTATTTCAAGTTTTAGTTACAGTAGTAGGATTATTAAATTATCGCTGCATTTACAAATTGCAATTCATAAATATAATAACATAATGTTAGTTATCGTAAACATATATTTCTTGGGAAAGGGTAAGCTTTTCATTTCTATCCTGGTAGAATTCTTGACAGTATTATTGGTGAGACTTAAGAAATAAAAGGGTCAAGAGCCATTGATGCAAATACCTGTCCCCTCACCAAAGATGGAATAATTCAGAAACAAAGTGAACTGAAAAGTCTATTTACTTTATTCTGAAATAATAGCTCGTGTAAAATATGAATGAAAGTGTGATTAACCAGGTGGTGGTTACAGTACAGCAGTACTGCATAATTTAATCCTACCCCCCCACCCCCACCCCAAACTATGTTTTCAGGTGCCTTTGCTTTAAAATTTGGATCAACTGAGAAGTATCAAGAATCAGTGCAAGAGTAAGGAAGAGAGTGGGGCATTGTGTCTATGTTTCAGAAGCTTAGGGCAGGAATGCATGTATACCTCAGGAAACAGATTCCATCAAAGGATCACTTTACTAAGACAATCTGAATGGAACTTTCACTGAGCTTCATAGAAATGTGCTTAATTTCTTTTGCCGTTTAGCAGAAAATGCAACAAAAGTGTATTAAATCTCTGTAGATTTCTAGATGAAGAGAAGTTCACCAAAGAAAAATATGTGGGTGTAGATAGATAGGATTAAAATTTTTGATAAATTCTATGCTGTGAAAGGGCATGTCTAGGAAGAAAAGAAACTTGCTTCACCTGGTATAAATAGCAAATGTCAGTGATAGTGCCCGAGGTGTTTTTTTTGTTTTTTTTTCTGGAATGCAACTCCAGTACTATACCTTGAGATTCTTTGTATATTTGCCTTGCTCGTGTTAACAAAATGCGGTTGATTTTTAAAACATTATTTTATTTAATTTTGGGGCTGCCCAAAGTCATGTATATGAGATGGGTAGCCTATGAATTTACTAGATAAATAAATTAATAAATGATGGAAGGCTAGGATTAGGATAACTGCACTTCAAATTTTAATTTGCATTTTGACAGCAACTTGAAAGAAAGTGTTCCATGCAACATTTATCTGCATTTCGCCTTGAGCCCACTATTAAAAGAAAATTACCTTCAGTCAAAAAAAAAATCATACATTCCTGATTTTTATCTCCTTGATTTTTGTTAGCCAGTTCTATTCTTTTATACAATCCTTTCACTTTCTTTCCATTTTCAAAGGCTGTTGGGGTATATTTTGGATGAAAAGTTGGTTAGATGCAAAGACATACTATGGACAAGACTGGAGCCACATATAGACTTCCCATATTTAAACCTGCCCCCAAATAAGTCTAAAAAGAACGGTCTTTTCCCTTCCTTTGCAGATACAGATCAACAACAAGCATGATTTAAATACCTTGGGGAAGAAGTTTGGTGGCAAACTATATCAGTGGAGAATGCAACTCTGCAACAGGTCCAACTTTTAATTCCCTCCACAGTTACAAAGAAAATTGGGAATAGAAGCCTCAATATGATGAATGTAAAACAAGAACTAGCACGAGAAGCTGAGTGTCTCTTTGATTTCAGCCTGAGAGATCTGGGTTGAAGTTCTTGCCACACATGTAAAACTAAGATTCATGGGGCAGCAGGATTTAAGCCCTATTAATAAAAGCAAATAAAACAGGATTGACAAAGCCACGGCTACTCAGGCAACCCATAAATCACTTGTGAACAAAATCTGTGTTTTGTTACCTGTGTTTTGTTCAGGTAACTTTGACTGAGTTTCTGATCCAGAGTGCTAGAGAAAGCAATCCCTGGTCTGATTCCTTTGGGAACATCTTACTTTCCCAACAAAAAGTGAAGGGTATTTTCAGAATAATTCAACACAGATATAGACATAAAATTGCATAAAAGCTCAGGTCTTAAATAAGTCTGTTAATTTCAAAAGGCATTAGCAGACTCTTCCCAAATTTCAACACGGATCTTGAATTAAAGAGTTTCTATACTTGTCAAGCACTGAATTATTGAAGGCTTGTGGACCCTGAGAAATTGAATAAAACAATAAAGAAAGAACAGGATAAATAGAGGTAACATTCCCCTATCTAACTGAAAAACAGATGTATTTTTTTCTGGAAGGCAGCTCCAGCACTATACTTGGAGATCTGAGTGTTCATTTTATACAACTTCACAGCAATGATGTTGCAGCACTATATGAGTTTCTGAGTTGGATCAAGTACGAAGGGTCCACGTATTCCGCGTCCCCCTCCTCTCCCACGGGCAGCCAGAGGAGTTCAGCGCTTCCTCTCCTTTTCTAACCTCCAAACCGCACCACCCACCTGGAATATTAACTGATCCTCGGACGATCACGCAAGTATGAAGTTTTCGATTTGAAAAATCTCCGAATAAATTGGCGATGGGAAGTCGCTTCCCGCAGGTAAGGTAAAAATATGCCACGACGGAGCAGCTCCGCTTTTGACAGGACACGAGACTGCGATTTCTCCCGGGGTGGGGAGGGGAGACAGAACTGCAGGACTTCAGTAACAAGAAGCCCCGGGACGACCTGAGGGGGCGGGGGCCAGAGACGGGTTGCCTGACTTTTGGGAAGGAAGCGTCGGGATTTGAATAGGGAAAAAAGCACGCCGGCTCAAGACTTTCCCGCCCCCGAAGACAAGGTACCTGTTTTGCCCACGGCGCCCTGTCCCAGCACCACCAGCCTGAGAGTCCGCGCGGGGGTCAAGCTGACGGCTCTGCGCAGCGGCCGCGGGAAACTCATGGCGAGGCCGGCGCTCAGGACGCTTGAGGCGATGCCGCTGCTCGTTGCCACTGGGAATCCCATGCACTGTCCGGGCTCCAGATCACGCAGCTCGGCAGCCGGGCGTCGACGGCTGTGTGTGTAGGGGGGCGGGCGGGGGTGCTTGGAGCTCCGCCCAGGAGGGGCTGGGCAGCGCCGTCGGCTCCTCCTGGGATCGCGTAACCCCGCCCCTCGCCCGCGAGAGAAGCTGCGGCGCACAGAAAAGGGGGAACCCTGGGCCGTCGAGCGAGCCTCGGCTAAGTTTTAAACTCAGTCGCGACGGCAAGCTGGCACCGGCTGCGCCCTCAGTCGCCGCTTCGGGGATGGGGTGGGGTGGGGGAGGCTCTAGGCATTAATTTGCGGGGGCGCGTGACCTGCGCATAAAGGGGGGTTGGTGCCGCTGCCCCGCGTTGCTCTGAGGCGCTCCCGGTCGGTTCCAGAGCGTCTGTGGAGATTTTCAGTCATCCAGGATATAATTGTCTCAACGGTGTTTTTTCAAAAGGCCACTGGAGTGCTTTCCCCCCCTCTTTGGGGAAGACGCTTCGCTTTTCATCCAAGAAGCTTCATCGGTTCAGACCAATAAAGCTTCTTGGACGAGAAGCGAAACGTCTTCCTCGAGGCAAAAAATACCCCCTCCCCCGTCCAGTTGCACTTTTGAGGCAGCTCGGTTCGAGCTCATCCAAGAACTGGTCGAAACGCACGCTCTTTGCCCTAAAGTCCTCCAGGGTCTGAGACAACAGGGACTGCAGCCATGACTGCAGAGCTTATAATTGCACTTCTCTGGAGGGCGGCAGATCAGGCAGGGGAGACGCCTTACTTCATCCTGTCTCTCCTATTATCCAATTTAAATGAAGGATTGGGAGTACGTACCGTACCGTGCTCTTACAGTTGGCTTAGCCATGGATTGATTGAATAAACCACATTTGGTTGGGGTGTATAAGACGCTAGCTCATCCTTTATGGTTTCCATGATACCTGCTTGCCAGATCTCCCACAGTTGGTTGTTTTTGTGGTGGTTACTAATAACTGCAATTAATGACATACATCATCTCCAGAAGACTAAATTGTTACAGAATGTTAGAAGGCAACAACCTTGGGGCGTCTGAAAGGCAAGCATATTAGGCTATGAGCCTTCCTATTGTTAAGTCTTCATATTTGCCCAGGCAGCTAGGCAAAAATCAAAGGGAACAAGCCAACACAGTTTTCAGTAAAATTGCTGGGGGACAGTCTTGAAAAGTGTGATAGGAATTTCCGACCTCCTTTATAATTAGTTCATTAAGGTGCCGTCTCTTAATACCTTGAAAAGCTTCTTCCCAGACTTCTCTCCACCTGCACTGATTTGCTGTTTTTGAGATAAACTGCCAAGTGATTTGCCACTCTCTGTCCATTTTGCACTAGTGTTTCTGTCCTTGCTTAGCCTTCCCATTTCTTACACATATGTGGTAGTTGAACATCGGAGCCTTTGACTTATAAATATTTGTATACATGTACTATTGCAAGAACTCATGCTTAATATTTGGTGATGATATTAATATGATTTTCTATGTAATAGTAGTTTTCTTTTTTTTTTCTGGGATTTTTACAATTTCCCAGTCCAGCATCCAACCTTGGAATTGTCTGGTTATCACTTATTCAAGTACTAATCATGTCCAACCCTACTTAGCTAATTTCAAGATCAGCCAACAATTACTAGGAATTTGCCCATTGTGACATACACATAGTTGCATATTTATAGGTGAACGAACACTTGATGTACATCATGGAGAGCTTAGGCAGATAAAATCTGAGAAATTATCTTTTTCTATGTCTTTAACAGCTGGGTGGCAACATCTGGCACATAAATGCAGGAGTGAATGAGATCCTTTAAAGGTCAAATTTCTATCTATCATTGACCAAAGCTAGAAAAAAAATAGGCAACTTTATCTGGTGTGCTTCAGCAGAATATTTTAATTGCCTTTACTGTAATATAAAATATTCATTTCAGTAAAATATCGTATAACTTTAAAGATATCCAAACTAAGTAAAGTAATCTGGAACAAAACAGTTCTGCTTCTTGCTGAATGATGAATTTATCATCAATTTATCATTCCAATAGTGCTGGTTATTGCTTCCAACTTTACAAGAAATCCTTCCTTCCTTTGCATGGGACCCAGATGCTCTAAAAGATGGAAATTCACTGCATGTTGAGTAAATTGCTGTGCAATGGAAAATGTAAACTGTGAGAGGAAATGCCAGGCTATTTCCCAAGGGTGTTTAAAGAACTGGCCCATCAAGAAACTCCATATTATTCAGTGGGACCACAAACATTCTCCAACTGAAGACTGAATAGACAATTGTAAAGGAACTAATAGGACCTATTTGGTGTGTTCTCCTTGCCTCAAGTTATGAAAGACCCAAGTTTCTTTCAAACAACCAAGAAGTAGCTCAGTTAATTTCAGGACAAGCTTAAAAACTCTACTATTGGCAATCACTAAGCCAGTGATACAGGGCTAAATGTAGCCAACCAACATCTTTATGTAGTGCATATAGATCTTTAAAAAAAAAGATTGAAATTTTCAATCTTCTTCTCTTTCTCCTTTTTTGGGGTTGGGGGAGAAATGGGATTAAGAGACAAAATACATGCCTTAAATTTGTCAGGTCTTAAAGCATTCTTTTGATACCTTTTGAACATCCCACCCCACAAATGGATGACCCCCCTCCACTGTTTTGGGAGTGCAGTTTCAGCATGCTGCACACATCTTGGTTTGACTCACAAATTGATACAAAGTGTACATTCCTGAGCTAGGCTAATGAAAAGAAATTAAACTTTCCTAGTATCTCATCAAACTATTGATGCTCTTAACTATAAAACTTACAGATGGTGACTTAACCTAGCTGATCTTGCATGATTTTGAAAAAGCTAACTAGATTGGACCAGTTTAGTATATGATGGGAGAACTACCAGAAAAATAGTATAAGCTAATGGGAAGTTAACAAAAGCTCCAGAAAAAAGCTATGGAAAAATTGTTTTTGTACTGTTGCCAACTCTGATTTCTGATATTCCAGCTTTTATCAGACAACTGCTCTGTTTATTCATGGATTTTTCTTTGGGCAGGTCCATGCACACATGGCTCATCAATCTGCGGTGACAAATTTTCCTATTATTTCTTTCTGTGCAGAATAGCTGTCTTTTGATCAGTTGCACTGTTTCCTTTTGCCTGCAAGACTCTTAAAAGAAACTGGTTATAAAAAGGCCTTGCTGCTTTCATAATCTACAACAGGAAGAAGAAGCTTTTATTCCACAAAACTAATGGGGCTTCTCCCCCTGATAAAAAGCAGGATTTACTGCTAAACAAAAAAGTCCCTGGATAAATTTGGGTCCAGCTTTTCTGCTTGTCATCCAGTCCTGTCATCCAGCTAAAATATCTAGAGACCTAAATATAAAGCTCGGTTTCTTAGAGACTTTGGGACAGATTATATGAGCTGGGAGTATTCTATGATGAAGGAATGATCAAGAGACAAACATTGTATTACAGCAAATATTCTAAGTTCACAAACTAAAAACTCAGCTCTTGTTCATATCAAGGCCAGAATTCTCTAACATCTTTTGATTCTGTTTCAGGAGGAAGACAGAAAGCATATGTTCATTTTTAATTGCATTTTTTCTGCCATTCCTAAACTAGTTGGGGGGAATGCCAATCTGTTCTAATAATCCTAATTTATGTGCTAATCATGTATTGGTAATGCAGCATTTTTTTTAAAAAATATCTTTCCTTTTTCTGGCAACTTGTTACAGCTCTCCCAAGAGCCCAATCGGCAAAATCAGAAATTAGTTTCTAAAGAGAAAAATAACAGATGCCATCTTATCCAAAATCTGTGTGAAAAGATAACAGCATGATAAACTAAAATTAGATTGAATTATTCCTAATGGTGAAATCTATTTTCGCTTACTCAGAGATCACTATTGTTGGGTCATCAAAATATTTACATGATTTGGGATTACAGTTTATGAAGTTCCATCAAAATAGGTTGAAAATTGGCTGTTTTTAAAAAGAAAAAAAAAACAATTACTGACCATTTCATCCATCTTGGTGGAAAATTACTGTAAGGATCAACTTCCTTTTATATCACTAGCTTATGAATGCCAAGCCAGGTTTCTTAATACTTATTTTTTCTGATGATCTACACTGTGGATGCAACCCCATAGCTAGTACTATGGTTCGTCATACAGTCAGCTAGATGTTCAGACTGGATTTGGCATTTTTATCTACCTTTCAAGTCCTTCCAAAGACTTGAGATAGGCAGAAGTTGATGTTATGTGGTGTTAGATATAGCACCACAGGATGTAAGGTATTCTGAGTAAAGCTGCCTTTTGCAATTGATTGATGGTGAATTTGTCAATGCCCATGGTGTTCAAGTGGTGCTCCAGTTGTTTTGGAATGGCACCCAAGGCTCCTATTACCAGTTAACAATGTTGATATTATTAATATTGTTATTATTGCCCTATTCAATAATATATTCCTCCTGATCAGGAAACCTGAGAATTAGCCAAACATTTCAGGTACCCTCCTACCATCCTGGCAGTTAGAGCTGAATATGATTTTTTGCAAGCAGCTACAAAGGACACTATCAAAAATAGTAGAATAAACATGCTGGGCTAAGCACCATAACTTCATGACTCTTATAAATGAAGCAAGAGTTTCATAATTCTACCTCTGAGGCATTTTCCTCTCCTTCTTTTCTTGCAATATGGTATTTCTTCTGTAGAGCCTAGCTGTACCCATATAACATAGACTGTTTACACATTAGCGCTTAGTGGTGAGATCAAACTTGTTTTAACAACTGTTCCCCCGTTCTTTCATGCATGTAGCCTGCCACTTTCTGCAGATGTTCTATAGAGGGTTTAATCAACAGCAAGCACACATTTTATGCCTATCCTTATAACAGGCTGAAAGACAGATCTCAAAACCCATATGCAGTGCCCTTGACCTTCCATTCTGCTTACAGTGAATGTGACACATTCACACATACAAATGGACCAGTCACCCGAGATTGGAATCAGATTTATT